GGACGAGGTTGATCTCATACTGTGCTTTCCATTTATGTACGAGGTGGGGTCACTACAGTATGGGTGGGGCCTTGACCTATTCGCTGTACTCTGGAGTGCTCTGTTTAAGTGTGTGTGTATCTTGCAGTATTCGAAATACTCCGTGTTTTAACCAATTGCAATGGAGTTCAGGGGTCCTGTGTTCAAGTCCTACGTGGGTAAAGGTGAATGAAGTCTTAGACATCTCGGCAAGCAAACGCAAAGAGGCACACAGGGATATATATAAGGCAAACATGGAGAATAATGATTTTTCAAAGATAGGAGAGTTCACTAAAAGAAATGGCTTTTCACTTGGCAAGACTTGCTTTCTCCTTACGAGACGGTAAAAATAGTGTTGATGTCATATGCAAGAATGCTCTACAAAACACGACCAGTGCCAAAGGTACCCATCATGATCTGAATGAATTCTGAACCAGTGATTGCTAGGTGCAGACTTCCTCCTCCACCTACCGCTTCGCCCATCTCGGAGCTGGCTGTATACTCTCACCCTCCAAAGTCAGAGGAATAAAAGCATGAAATGCGCAGAACCGGAGGGCTGAGAGACACCAGATGAGCCTGATATCGGTCCCCTCATCTCTGGTGACAACCCGAGTGGAACCTCGGCCAACCCGGAGAACCAGGACTATTCCGCTCCCATTCTCTTATCAAAAGACCCCACGATGCTCTGTGCGGACCTGTCCTTGGGAAGCATCCAATCGTGGGACCGATGGGTGATACCGATAGCGGTCCGACCACCCCAAAGTAAGTGGGCACCCACTTCCGGAACCAAGAGATCAAGAGGGTTCTATTTGGAAAGTTTCTCAGAGAAACTGAAAGAAATCTGGAAACAAGAACTCATCTAGAGGATCCTGTTTATTTACTAAAATAGAACCATGTTATAAACATTACTTTGCAACACGCTTTCTAAAATTTGAATGTATATTTTGAGCATCTCTATAATACAGCCCATAAAAACCTAACATTTTTCTTAGTTTATGAAGATTCACGATACTTGCCAAATGCGGGACACCGTAAGGCACGTGTGCGTATGTTTGTGTGCTGTTCTGATGTCTTTCATGTAAATCGTGTTTACTGTTTACATCATTTCTCCACTCCACTTTCGCTCCTCCGACACTCGCCCTTCACACTAAGTAAACCGTTTTTATGATCTAAAATACATCCTTGAATATTTTCCTTGCCCATGTAGTAAAACATGCAGCTTTACAGGATATTTCTGAAAGCACTACTGCTTTTCAAAATTAAATGGCCTATTTGCTTTTCTTACGTGCATTTTCTCCTTTAATAATACCTCATGGGAATCCGTCCATCTGATTCACTTCTAGCCCATCCTTTTAAATGGCTGTATAATGTCTCATGATGACGATGCTCCAAGGTTTAGTCAGCACTTGGTTAGTCAGCACTAATGAGCACTTGTTTGGTACTCACGTTTTAGCCACTAAGAAGGCTGCATTAAACATATTTGGTGACGATATGTTTCAAATTGTATTCTGGAACTTTTATTCCTAGGAAGCGGAGTCCCAAACCAAAACTGCTGGATTGAAAGGTATAGTTCTTATCTTAAAGATGTTTTAATGTCGCTTCCATAAAGACTATAAAAATCGGCCTCGCTACAAGGAAAGTAAGAACACACTTTTGCCCATACTACTAATAGCAATAGGCGCTAACATTCTTAAAAATATTACGTTTTAAGGGTATCAACTATGTACATAGTTTTAAAATCGACTTTATTGAGAAATACATTTTAAGTGTATAGTTCAAAGATGTGACAATGTAACCTCCATCTCCACAGTGGTAGGTCATTCATTCTCCCTCAGAAAATTCTTTCATGCCCCTTGACACACGATTCCCATTCACGTCCCAGGGAACCAATGAGTCATTTTATCACTTTAGATTAGTCCTGGCTATTCTAGAATACCACATAAATGAAATTACCTATTCATATCATTTTCTGTTTTTTTCCTATTGTGGTTTTGATTTTTTTATTAGTTTAGAAGAGCACTTTGCTTACCATTGACACAAATATCTGTCATTTGTATTTTAAGCACTTTTTAAAATCTATTTTTATATTTTGATATTATGTAACTATGGTGTCTTTGTTTTTAAATCAGATGAAAGACTTTATATTTGATATAATGTCTTAAAAAAAAAAACCCTAAATTTCTGTGTCTCCTAATTTGTTTAAAAAGCTCTTCCCAATCCATATATTTTAACATATGGAATCCAAGATTTTATTCTGAGATTGTTACTTTTGTTTTTACATTTAAGTCTTGAATTTTTCTGGAATCTTTTTGTACCTGAAGTGACCTAAGTGTTCAGATTAACTTTCTTTCATATGGATAGACAACTGTGCCTGTATTACTGCTAAAAAACAAAACAAAAACTCTTCTGTGCCAAAGGAGAAATTCCATGTTCGCCATACGTTTAATTTTCTAGTTCTGAGTAATCTAGTCACTCTCAATCTAGGTGCTTACGCCCCCATGCCCAACACACACTATGTACAATGGAAGGACTTTTCTCCAATGTGCCTAGAACGGGACTAGTTTTGTACCATCCTTGGGAAAATCAAGAAAATAGTTACTTGAATCATTTTTTGTGTGTGTTCTATGACTCTGGCGAAAAACTCTAGTTGAGAAAAGCTCTTTTTTCCTTTGTGTTCTTCTGATCTGTTTATCTACACCGTGTCAGGATCACACTGGCCGTGTGACGGTGGTTTTAGAGTGTGTCCTGAGGTTGGGTAACACAGTCCCTCTCTCGCTGCCATTATCACCGCCGGTGTCTTTTTTAGACTTGCCCTGCCTATTCTCAGACATCGTCCTTGTTTATCTACGAAATTTATCAATATTCGGTGAATTTTAAAATAATTTCAAATAATTCCCCTTAAAAATCCTCGTGGGGTTTTACCTAATATTGCACGATTGCCTGAGAAGTCACATTCCGTGACATAAACCTGAGAGGAGGGAAGGTGTTTTGCAGACGGAGCTCGCCCCAGCATCTGCCACATTCTGACCTTCACCTAAGGCTCTTCCGCCATTGTCCTCCCAGGCCCCCAGGGGGTACACAGAAGACACAATCCTGCCCCCACTGTTTAGGGGGGCTCCTACAGACCCTCAGTTCTCCCCCACTTCTGTAGGCCTTCTGACCTCAGAAGCTGCTTTACTCGAGAGAGGTAAATGAATTGGAATCGGAAGGACAGAGAAGACAGAGAAGACAGAGAGCATTCAAGCCTCCTACCTCCCAGAATCCCTTTCTCGGGATTAACCTTCTCACTTTGAAAATGAAAGCAGGTGCTTTCCGCCTAGTATTAATGTCACTGTCAGACAAAATGAAATTCTGAACTCTATTCACTTTGCCACCAAAGCCACGATGATCTCCTGAATGAAAACTGAACACACCACCGACTTTAAAGCTGAATTCAGCTGTTACTGCCTTAAATTATTTCTACTTCCCTTTTCCCTTTATTCTGTTATTTCTGTGTTTGTCTGTCTAAACACTTAAATAAGGGTGATATCATAGGCTAAGATATGAATCATTCTGGGAATTCAGCCATTAATAGAAAAAAATGACATTCACTTTACTTTCGTCTCTGACAGTGTCTTACTTAATTAGTGATAGATAGATGCTCCATCGAGGTGGAATTCCAATGGACGTTTTACTAATATAGTAGCTTTTAATTCTCTCTATTCTCTAAGAAAATTAAAATTTCTGTCCAAAGGAGATAATTGGGAAATTTTAATGAGACAGAATAATTTAGAACTCTTTTGCTAAGAAAACATAATTGAGAATGCATAACTCTCTTAAGATGCTAGAGTAACTGTTAAATAAGGCATAAAAGTAAGACTGCTTTTTAAATAGCTAACAAACTGGTACATATGTTATACTCATTCACCTTCGTCCTCAAATAAATCACTTTATTAGCTGGTATAAAACAGCTCAGACATTACCACAATAAATAAATATGTTTGGCTAAAGACATCTACGTGGCTCCTCAATCAATCAATCAATCGAACCATTACACACTGGTAAAGTATTAAGCTTGAACAAAATGCCCAAGGTTGAAAAAAAAAAAGAGTTGACATTCATCCGGATACCACGTTCTGTTTTGATCTGCGTTCCCCAAAAGCCATAAAATCAAAAGGCCACT